GCTAAAGGGAAGAGCAATCTGCTTAAGAGGGGAGAGGTGTCCAAACCTTGGAAGTTTTGTTTGCTTGCTTGCTTGTTTGTTTGTTTCCAGGCAAATTCAAATGCTTAGCATTGGAAACCTAGAATGGGTTCTTTCAATATGCAAACTCCCAATCACCTCAAAGTACTTACACTTTTTACTTTCATGTTAGGCATGATTTCTGTCAAGAATGTATTATTCCTTTGCATGCTACATTTTTTATTAACTCAGTGAGTATTAGTACTTACCAGTACAAGGAGGACTGACAGCTTTTTTGTAAAGATTAGTAGAGGACAAATGAAGATGAAAAATACAATCAATATTTAGCCTTTCTGTGCCTCTGTGTGTACCATGTAAACACACACCTGCTCTAACGATGGGGTTTGCCTTTAGGCAAAACAGTGGATGATTCAAAAGTGAGCAGAACAGGATGTTTCAGAGACTTTAAGAAATCAACACTCTTGTCTAAATGAATATAAACTATTGTCATTTCCCTTTGTGCATCTCTCAAACACGGGTGAGAACAATTCCTTGTTTCCTCTTCCTCTCAGATAGGTAGCTGTAATTGACTTCTCCCAATAAGCAAACCTCTTTGAACTTCTCTTGTCAGCTTTGAGATAGCTTTACAGATAAATATCAAAGGCTCAGTGCCTTGAATGGATGGTTTAGTGCCACAGGTTACCACCTCCAGTTCCAAACTTCCTCTTCTCCCACCAAGAAAGCCATTGCAGGGGGGATAAAGTCCCCAAGTGGATGGGGGCTCCAAGGCCACCTTGGACCAGTAGCTACTGAAGTGGTTTATCTGACTGCACCTCAAGGATTTAGCTGTTTCTCTTACACATTTTTATGCAATTTACACATATCACAGCCTTAGAAAACACCAGCTGTGATCCAGGTGGCTGATTCAACCTGCCATTCCTTGCAGAGGCTCCCACTCTTGCTGTTCCAGTAGAATATATGGGTGTGCATCTGGAGATCTGAAGCACCTGAAGGAGGTTTAATGAGATGCTTTATTTGGTATTTCTTTTTACTTTCTACTGAGGAATTAGAAGTGAAGTTGAAGGGGGTAGAGTTGTTTTATAACATTTAATTGCATTGTCTTTGAGGCACAAAAATGACAAGTAATATGAAAATACATCTGAAAAGACACCCAGTTCACCAAAATCCATGTTCTTCCACAAAGACCATGGCAGGAGCATTGCTTTCATGGAAGCCTGGCATAGGAAAGGTGGTCCTTTTCTGGTTTGTTAATTCAGTTTGAGAAGATATTTCAACAAAGGAGCTACATGCTTTTCAAAATCTCAAGTAGTAGTTTAATAAATCCCCTTGTAGGTAAGCAGGTTCTCTCCCCAAAAGGAAGGAGTCCTCCCTTTGTCCAGAAACAATAACTTTCTTTCTTGATTTGGTTGCCTGCATAGCTATTTATAAAACTGAAGGATAATAGAAACACAAAACAAAGACCAGCTGGGATAATTGTGCTGTGAGAAGCCATAAAGGAGGGGTCTGGACATGCTATTCTTTCTTCAGTTTCAAATTCTAATGTGGGGTTTTTTTTAATTAACAGAAGTAGCTGTTATAATTTTTAAATTTCTGCTCTTTGAGTTTTGGTTTGTACCTTCTAATAACTTAGCTTTTATTCTCCAAATTCCGTTGCTTTCTGTTTTGTGGTTCTTTCCTTATAGCTGAGGCAAGTGGGTATTTTTGGAGATTTTTTGTGTTACGTCTAAATTTGCACTTAATAAATCTCATGCTAGGTTTCTAATGCCAAGTATTTAAATTTACCTGAAAAAGAACCCATTCCATATTACACAAATCTGTCTGAAAGCAAGACAGACTCCTCTTTCTCAAGTCTAGGGACTCTGTACCTCATCTCACATCTGAGTTGAAAACTTGTTGCACACTTTATTCTTCTTCATTTTTCTCTTTAAAACCTATTTGGAAAGCTTTTGTAGGATAGTGTGCATGCAAAAGAGCCAAAGGCTTCCAGGTGATGTTTGAAGGTGGGGATGTGTCACAGGCCAGGTCCACCCATCATCCTCACTTCATCATCACATATTCCTCATGAGCTGAGCTGTGACCAGATCAAAGAGAGGGTGGGTTTGTTTCATTTTGTTTTATCTTGAGGCAGCTCTGACAGTCCTTGAGTGCAGCAAGCACACAACAAATCCTTCTTTCAGGATGTATGGTATTTGTAATGGGAAAACTTTGCACCTTCCTTCAAGTACTTATCACAGCTACTGACCCCTTTGTCATTTGATCTGATAATTCTCAATTACTGGAGTTTTTAGCTACAAAAATAGCAACACAGGGCTAAAAAGAGTTTTGGTTTAGGTTTCTGTCTTTTTTTTTTTTATTTTTATTCCTTCCAACATGTAAGAATTTCTAATGTACTTGTAAGAAACCTAAAACTTTTATTAGCACCTACAGCCAAGACTTCCAAACTTGCTATCTGCAGAACTTTGAAAATCTATTATGTGCCATAAGATCCTGAACAAAGGGTCCCATCCAGTCTATTCAAGTTACAATTAAAATGGATCTCAAAATATCTATTGCTGAAATGTGTTTTCAAAGATTAGCAGTAACACAGACTGCACTTTTATCTGCAAACCTGATTTTGCATAAAAAGATCCCAAGCAGGTTTAATGAAGAGTTGGAGCTTGTAGTTAAAGAAACAACTTTAAGTTTTACCTCTTGATTATCTTTAATTATATGCAATGCCAAGTAAGACAAGCATTACTCATTATTTTTATTTACAGTACTAGCTGATGGAGGTCCTTGAGTGTTTCTAGTATCTGCTCATCCCAAGAGAGCACTAGAGAATAAACATGAGATGGTGACAAGGTCCTGACTCAGGTGTTGTGAAGGAGGAGGTTGTAGTTCTGTACCTGACACAAGGGCTGCCTGCCTGCCCTGGGCCATGGCAGCCCCCACTGCCTGGGTGCTCTCGGGGCTGCTGCTCTGGTGAGGTCCTCTCTCAACAAACCCCTTTTCTTGGAGTGCAGTCTCAAGTATTTGAGAGCCATACAACAATTATTTTAGTAGTCAGACATGTAGATTCAGTCAGAGCTTTAGTTGTATATATGCCCTTCTGTGTTTCACTTTCCTCATCACTCTGGAATGGCCTTTGGGCCTGGGATTGAGTGCGTGAAGATTTGGACAACCCTCTTGCCGTAGACTTTTCTATCTGCCTCTCTTCTTCTGTCTCTCTAAGATCACAAATCAGACAGCTCTTCCTCAAACTTTTCAGTTGTTTCCTTTTATATGGCCTGGCACTTCAAGAAATTTCAGCCTCAAGCTGACTGGACAGACTGGTTTTTGCAGCTCATTCAACTCCATGGTGGAAGGGGATTCCACTTGAACAGGAGATCAGCTGTGCTTGATGGCTTCCTATACTTCCCATTTAGTGCACTGGTTATCTGTTTACTCTCACAGGCTTCAGACAAGTTAAATTCTCCAGAGGCAGCAAACAAGGATTTCAACAACTCCTACAAGAGCTATGTAACTTTAAAAGCTGAAAAAATTCACACTAATGCATATTAGGTACTCTCTAATTTATCAAAGTTGTAACTAGAAATCTAAATGCCTCCATAAAAAGAGAAAAGAATAAGAGACACAGATTTTTAAGAAATTTGACTATGCAAAAATGGGAATGTTTTCATTTCAGTCCATCTGCTTGGAAGAAATATCATAATAGCAACAGTGCATGTGATTTCCTAATTTAAATGCACTTTTTTTAGTAGAAATATGGAATAAAATGATCTTTTAAACTATAGCCTTATTCAAGACTCATGGAATATCCATGATGCTCTAATCAATTCACCTAAATGTGATCAAATGAAAAGCAAATTAATTCAGGTACTTGTACTTATCAGTTTTGTGTTGGATCTTATTGGCATGCGTGTGTGAAGATTTTTTAGCAAATAAATGACATAGAATAAAACCAGTAACATGAAAAAAGCCCACCTTTTTTTAAAATAAAGTAATAATTTTTCTAATGTAAAGATATTGGTGTCACTGATGAGCAGTAAGCGATATTCAGATAGAAATCTACAATTCGATTTTTGTTGGTGAGTTCTATCTCTAACAAACAACAAAGGAAATGTAACTGATGCTGACATCCATCCCTAATTGAAGTCTGGCAAGCCTTTTTGAAAGAAACACAAACACTTACAAGCATTCTCCCCAAACTAGAACTAAACCATTTAGATCTCCTCTCATTCTTTTCATTCCTCATTACTTTTCATTTATAGACACTGCCAGGTGCCAGCTGGGGCACAGCACAGAAACAGCAAACTGCAGATGATGGCTATTTCTGATGTTTCGAGCAGAACCAGAAGCAAACCCAACAAATAGAACAGAAAAGCAGAAGTTCTGAGCTTTTCACCTCAGATTTAATGTATCTGGTTAGTTTAGATAATAATTCAAGCTACTCTTATAGATGTAGTACATTGTTGTTGGAAATTTTGGAGCATTTTGCTGTACACCTATTTTTCACATCTGTAAGTAATTAATTTCTTTAAATTAGTAGGTAACATTATATCATTTTGCTATAAATTATCAGTTTGAGTTTTCAGCAGGAGTTAAAGATGTGCTTGTGAATTATTTGTCCATTATTCTCATTATATTTAAGTGTCCCATGTATGGCCAGAAATCAGAGGGCATCACCATTAGAGCCTTGCAGAGTTTTGAAGTCATTTCTAGATAAAATGTCAACATTTAAATATTCAAAACTATTAATTTAGGCAAGGATTTTTTTCCTGATGCACTTACTCTTAAATTGATTGTTTATACCGTATTTAATGGTATTCAGAAAGATAACACAAATAATGCTAAAGAGTTCTATAAAAGGAAGGAAAACTTCATGCACAAATGATTTAACAATTAAACTACTTATTGAAGATATATTGAGCATATTTTTCTTAATTTATATTAATGTTCAACCACTTAGTAAATTAATGCTGGCTTTGTTTAATATCTTACAGGAAGCTTCAAAAGATGGTGCATGACATCAAGAAAAATGAAAGTGGGATAATAAACAAGTTCAAAAAGTAAGTTTGCAATGCCAATCCCTAGTTTTATCAATGTGGGGAAGTTTGGATGATGAGCAGAGTGGTGTGTGGTACTTTAGTCACGGGACCATTGTCATTCCAGAGGGATGCACTTCTGTACATGGAAAGAGCTTTGGTTCAGACTGCAACCTGCAGAATGGTCATCAGTATTAAGACTATCATAAAGGAGTTGCAGAACTGGAGTCCAATGATAGGTTGTGTTTGTAGCCTTGGAAAAAGCCAGTATTTGAGTAAAGAGCCTTTTTAATGTTTGCTGGGAATGGTCATTGCTTGTTGTTTGCATGTCTGCCTTTCTCCTTAGGCAACTGTTCAGGCTTCCCGCTGCAATTAAGTTGAATTTGAGCTCCACCTTGAACCAACTGGTCAGACATCATACTTAAAATTCCCATAAAAATGCAAAGTCCTCCTGTGTTTCAGTCTCATAAAACAAAATCCAGCATTACCAGCACCCTTATTCTAGTAAGACATACTGGACAGCATGCAGATTGTGTCACGTGCATGAAAGTGTTATAAAATATTCATATGTATTTATTCATAGAAAGAAATCCCAGTAATTTTGCATCCTTGTCAAATGAATACACTATTCGCTGTTTCCAGACAAACATCTATTTAAAGCAATTAGCTATTTAGCACACTTTTCTTAATGCTACAGCTCATTTGCATTGAAATTCCATTTGGATGTGATTTTCTCATTCAGATGTGTTTCTTTACTTGGGTCATTGGCAACAAAAGTATTAAGTACTTTTAGAAGTTAATTACAACACCTATCTGCAGTGTTTCCAGGACAACCATGTTAAATTCTAGAAATACAGCTCTTGTACATAAAAGGCACGTGGAAGCATTGTTTTAAATTGTTTTTAAGGAGGGACCGTGATGGCTGAGCTCAGGGGAAGCAGCTAATTCTGGGTGTAGCTGCAGTGTTCAGTCAGCTGCTGGCAGCAGCAGCAGGGCCCTGCCAGGAGTGGCTCCAGTGCAGGAGCTCTGGAGAGCCAGGCTGGCTCGGCCCGGGCTGGGCTGTGTTTGTGGGCAGCTGCTGCAGCTGCCAGAGGAGGGGATGCACTCCCGGGAGCAGCAGGGCTGCCCAGCTCTCCTGTTCCCCAGGCAGGAGGGGTAATCTTGGCCTCCTTTGTGCTCTCATTTCCACAGCTGTGTTTTCTGCCCGCAGACATTGAGCAGGCTCTGATGGTCAAACACCTGATCTATCAGATAGATTTTGGAGATAATTTTTTTCCTGTACTCATCCTCTTTCACGCTAAGATTGCTGCAATTCACAGTTAATCACAGTCACTTGCTATACTTATTTCCATGGAAGCACAAAAGAGAGTTTCCCATAAAATGGCCCTCTTTCAATTACTTGGGGTTTCAAGTAAATTTGTGTTTTTGTTTTTAGCACGGTGACCATTGTGTTCACCACCCAGCTACAAAAAACTCATTTTCACCTGGGACCTGCTCACAGGGAAGAGCTGCTAGGCTGTCCAAGGCTTTTTGTGGAGTTTTGGAGGGGAGAGGGTTAGAGGTTTCCTTATAGTTGTTGCTTTTTAATAAAGGGTGGCTTCCTACTTCACAATAGTTGTTTAATTAATTATGTTCCAGTGGACTCAGTTCAAAAGCCTCAGAGAGGAAAGACAGAAACAACAGAAGCATCTAAGGTTTATCATTTGAGGCTACAAAGTGTCTCCTATAGTAGCCTGAATGTGAATTCGGTTGTTAATCAGTTGCTCTGAAGCTGGGAAGGTCATCATTAAGTGTCAAAGATTGCCCCTATAGCACTCTAATTCTTTGATTCACTCAAGATAAAAAAAAATAAAATATATATAAAAGAGCAGACTCATAAAAACTCAAAGTATGACTGCAGCACAAAGCTCACGTCACCTCTCTGAGTTATAAGAACACAAGGTATAAAAGCATAATAATCTTTCTGATGTTACTGTGATTCATCTGAGTCATAATAATCATTTTTGCAGCTATGAAGATCAGAAATTTAATTTTTAAAAATTGAAGAATTTCTGATATTTGCACATGACTTCAGAGTTCAAGTCTTGAACCCAGCACATAATGAGACTTGCAATAAAAGCATGAGTTGACAGCACTGATAAGGATATGTACAAGAGGTGCTAAGCTTTACAGAATTAGAGCTGGCTTTGTTCCTTACTGTGCAATCTTTGGGGGCTTTTTGTTTGTAAAAACAAACAAAACATGGTTATCCATATGATCGCTACTTCCATTTCAGTTAAAGGCTTATTTTATTAAATGGTAAGGTTCTAAACATGACTAAAGCAGGAAAAATTTTATTTAATATGGATTTTGTGTAGCACAGATTCATCCATATGTTGGGAAGAAAATCAAAATGAAACCTATTATAAGTAGAAATAATTCTAGAGAATTCAAATAGTGTACTTGCATATCTGAAGCCTAAAGTTGTCACCCAGATATATGCTGTAAGCCTCTGCTACACAAATTGAAAGAATTATCAAATATTTGTGAAATGCATTAGACTTAGTAGCAGTATTTGTTAAAACACTTTTGAAATCTGGACTGGCTCCTGATTATGCAGAAATGTAAAAGGTCTTGCATCAAAATCTTTGCTATCCAGTCTAGTTCATCTGTGGGGTGCAGGTGGGGAGGAATTCATCTACTATCCATGTGTGTCTTAAAGGTGGGGAGGAATTCATCTACTATCCATGTGTGTCTTAAAGGTGTGGGGAAAGCAGGCTGAGCAGTCCTGGTAGCAGGAAAGAAATAGAAAGCTTGTTTTTTCATTGCTTAAAAGTTCCTGTTTGTTCCCCATTCCAACTCAGCGTTTTCTGGCAGTAAAAATATTGGCCACTGCAGGGTAGCTGTCACCTGCTTGCCCTTTATCACATGCAAAGCTGTTAACAGCCTGAGTCCCAGCTGCTGTGCAGATCACAGTGTCAAGGAGGATTATGGACTCAGGTGTAGAAGCAATGAGTGTAGCCAGCATTGGATAAACAATGAGAGCTGGGGGCATTTTTTTTCATACTCACATCCTTGGTAATACAGAACAGGGAAGCAGAGAAATCATAGGTTTCAGGTGGCCTCTGCTTGAAACACGCTCTAAAGACAGAGCACTCATCTGTGCATCATAAGCTTTAAGCCTCAAGGCTTTGTTCAGTGGAATCCTGGCTCCACTGAAGTTGGGTGTTAAAAGTCACACTGCATGCACAGCAAAGTCAGGACTTCACCTAAAGTTTTGTATGTGCTGACCTACTGTGTTGAATAAGAAACAAGAAGTTCATTTTATTCTCCTTGTTGTAATATCCCATCCTTCACAAAGCCATCAGAAATCATGCGCTCGTACTCTTGTTTCTGACTGCACACTCTCCAAATGTGTCCATTTCTCAAACATTTGCCATGTGACCTGGAAAATGGAACAACAATGCTTTACCCAGCTTTTTAGTTGGGTAAGTCTTTGCTTCAGATTTGTGTGGTCCATTTTTCTGTCCCATTTATATTTTAGGCAGAAAAATAATCGTGTCACTAAATGTCTATTCAACCCGCATAGCTACAACCAAAAGACATTCATGATCAAACCCTTGGCAGAGGGAAAAGCAGTATTTTATGAACCAAACAGTGAGAGAAAGTACCAAAATCAAGCTCTGCCACACTTAGAAAAAGAAAACAGGAAAAAGTATAGTACCTAATTTTAACTGTTATGCTGAAGAAACATGAAAATTACTGTGTAACTGAATAGAATGTTTTGAGTGTCAGGATTTTTATTACTATCACTGCCACAGCATATTGTAAGAACATGCGTGAAAGAGTCGTAATAACAATTTCAAAAAAAATCCCTTTCAGTTTAATTTTGTCTTGTACCATTTCTGCACAATTCCAAACGTATAGCAAACTCTTCCACTAGGAATACACAGTTCAGGAAAAGTTTATCTGTTCTCATCACACCTTTTGGACGTCTGAAAATGTTTCTGGCAAAATTCAATTAATTTATTGTGTAATCACAAGTGTGATGTTCTAGTGCATGTACAGCTAATACATACTATAAATACTCAGGTCAGAAAAGATGCCAATATAATTTTCGTAAAAACTATTACTTTAAAATGGTTCCTAACAAGGGAGTGGACTTTGTACAGACTTAACAATACAAAAAAGCAAAGGACTTTTGAAAACAAGGAATTTTCAGACATATCTTTAATGCTGGGGGACTGAGCACAAACATTAGGAGAGAAATGTACCTGTGGGAAAATTTAAGTGCTACATGTAAAAGTCTACTAATATGTATGTTTGATTGTTTTTCTGGGTGTAGCCTGTAAAAACAAGTGTTGCTAGAGCAAAACGCCCAGATCTCTGCTGTAGTTTATTTTAAAATTCTTCACTTAACACAGGAAAACAAAAATGTGCTACAAATTCTAAGTAATTAATATTTGCAGTTCCTACAGGACCATATATGTCAAAAAAGTTAAGTACATGCCTAAATGTTTTGTTGGATCAAGCTCAGCATATTATAGGGGGAAATCTTGGAATACATTGATTTAAAATGGAATAATTTATTGTCTTAAAAGCTGTTCTGAATTTCTGTACCCTGCATTATATTCTTATGTGAGAAGCATCTATAACATATGAAGTGTCTCAAGTGCTACCTGGTTATTTGTTGAAGCTCCAATATATGTGCTAGGATTAAATACATTTAAATATACATGGTCAGTTGGATGGCATTTGATCCTTGCAGTCCCTTCTCATTAACTTCAGGGAACAGGACAGAGCCAATTGCCATTCTGCAAGGATCTGTGTGGACAGTGAGGTCAGAGTCTGCAGGAGCTGGGTTACCACGCCTTGGCGTAGGGTTGTGTCTTTTGAGCTTGTGTTGTGGTTTGCATGTTGGGTAGAGCTCTGGCTCCTGTAAAGTGAAGCTCCAGCTGACTTCAGAAGAGCCTGGATTCCAGTTCTGGCACTCAGAAAATCATACCAGTACCATGAAAACTTCTTTTTAAGTGGATTTGAATTTTAGAATAAATAACATATTGAAAAGATTCTAGCAAATATACATTTGGCCGTGAACTGTTTCAGCTCTGTGACAGAAACATTATTTCTTTTCTTCTATTGATATTCAGGTTCCAAAATGAACAAGTGGCCTTAATTTGCAAAACTGGGAAAGATACTTGGGATCGGTATGCTCTCCATAGCTGCACATGGCATGATAGGCTGCTTAGACACAGACCTCTGTTCTTCCCTTGTGTGCTTTCATTATAACATATTTACACTTTCTGCCAGGGCCACTGCCAGGATTTACAGGGCCTGGTACCAAGTGTGGAAGATTTCTCTTTAGCAGCTTAGAAATGTGTGATATTGCTTAAGCCATGTACTTTATACCATGACCCAGACAGCCTCTCACTGTTGCCTCAGTTCCACTATTTTCCAAGTCTCCACCATCTCCGAACAACTCCTGGCAGACGTGTTGCAAAATACATCAAGAGATCTTGGTCTCCCCTTCCTAAGATGTGAGATGAGCCCTGGCAGTGGCCCTGGGATTTTCTTTCTAACATGGCTGTGCTAACCTGGACAGAAGACCAGAGCAAAACTGTTGAGAATGCTTTTTAGTTTACTGTTTGTACACTGAGTTACATTATATTTCAGGAAGTTAAAACCTCTGAGGAGACAGCTATCCATCATTAGTGTTGTTAGCCATGAACCAAGCAGGCTAACATTGCAAAAATAATCTTCCTGGTTTGGTTTTTGTTTGGTTTGGGGGATTGGTCTTTTTTGAGTTTTAGCAATACCCACACCATTTATTAATTGAATGATTCATGTATGGGGTGTTTTTGGTGACTGTCTGAGCAACAGAATTCGATTAATTCAACCCAGAAGTAGCCAAAGCATTTCTCAAAACAGACAGGAAAATTTGTAAGTTGATGTGGTAGTGCCAGCCTGCCACCACCCTGAGTAAAATGGTACCTGAACAATGATGCCTAGGCAGCAAGCCTAAATAGGACCTAAATATTGAGTGTCAAATTCTTGTGGTAAAGCAACATTTGTAAACACTATTGCTCAGAGATCCCAAAAAAACATTTTAAATTCTTTGGGGATGTGTTTTTTAAAATTATTTGCTTATTTTTGAAATGAATTTGTTAGGACCTGACTGAAGAATGAGTGACATCATCAATTTAGTAGACAAAGCTTCAGGTCCACGGTGAAATCTCGTCAGTGCTACAAGGAAGCTGTCAGACAATGTTCAAAAGTCACTTTAAAGAATAATTTTAATGTAATTAATTATCTTAATGTTTTATCTGGCTACTAAAAACAAAGGGTTGTTGTTTTTTCCTTCTGCAGAGGCATCAGTCTGGCCTGTGATGCCACACATGCATTGTTCATCTTGACTTTAAACACAAATTCTTCTCTTTCATTACAGGGTAGTGAAATAATTCAACTGACTGTAATTCAATAGTGATACTCTTTGGACAGCTGCAAGTTAGTAAGGAGGAGTATACATGAATACACACACACACATATATACATATATATATGTGTGTGTGTGTGTGTATGTGTTTACACACATGTGTACTTCTGCTTCCTAGAGATATATATATGTGCACATACTTATGAACCTACCTGTATAGCCAAAAAGATCCTTTCAATATTTCTACAAATCAATCATCTTTTGATTCACTTGGTATGTGATGCCATTGTAACAATTTTTACCAAAAAAGGGATATAACATCATAAAATAATAAAAAGTACAATCTTTCACTGAAAGACCTGGTATACATTTAAATATTAGCCATCAAATAAAGTGCATGCAAAATTATTTAGTTCTAAAAATACAAATGGAGAGTTCCACATCACTTTCTTACACCATAGTCTTAATAAAGCTTCTGTGAACCTGAACAGATTTTAATCTTCTAATAGATCATAATTTATTTCTGCCCCCATCTTATCTCTTTCTGGAAATGAAGAAGACGTGGGGTGAGCAAAGAAGCTGTCCTTTCAACATGTGTTCTTAGTGAAAAAAATATATTAAATTCTCAGTTTCTATTTTATTATTTTATCAGTTTCTAGCTTTTGAAAGCATTCTTCTGCAGCTATTTGCTAAGCATCTGTGATGGTAATCTGTATTTCTTTAGCTGCGGGTATCTTTAGTTATCAGCTTTTTAATGTGTCTGGCTAATACTCCTTTCTAATGAATGTTAATGATGAGATCATAAATGTAATAATTATAATTTACAGCCTTAAAAAAAAGCCACCACCAAGTCTGCCACAAAGGGATTATGCTTCAGGTAAGGCTGTATTAATGTAAATTTAAACTGCATGTCTGTGTTAATTTGCTATCTATATGCCTAACAGTATTTCAGCCATATAGTGCCTCATAATTTGTTTTTAATGAGAGAACAACATACCATTATCAAAAACTCTGAAGGTAGTTCACACCTCTGAAATGAAAGGCAAGAAAGAAGTTATTAATTATGCCAGCATAAAGAGTAGCAAGTAACCACTCTTTCAAAATCAGTCTTAATCAGAGTTCTGTATCTAGGCTGCTGTAAAAATGGAGGAGAATTTGCATGCAGCCCCTCCTTACAGAAACTGTGAAAGTAAGAACAGAAGAAGTTGAACAAATGCATCATTACAGATTTAAAATCTTCATGCTATTAATGTAATGATGGCACCATGAATTATCTTAAAGGTAGAATCATCATGAACTATCTTAAAGGTAGACCTTTACTTGCTTCTCATACAGCACTGCCCACAAACTAGTTCATGGCTGTTTTTACAAGTTAACAGCCATCTTGTTAAGATAAGAATAGAAGAAAGCAGGACAGAGTTTGGAACTTATCAGGTAACTGTTCCCTGTTTAATATAAACACTTACCCAACTTTAACCAGGGCCCAGAGGTCAGCAAGAGTTCCATTATCTAGAAATTGGCACCCCTACTTAAAAATGAGATGCATTAACAGGACATTGTGGGTGAAGTGCATGCTCTGCTGTTCAGACCATGCACAGTTTGTCATTTTCTAATGCTTTTCCAATTGTTCTGAAATAATTTGTCAAAAATAAGCAAAAAGGCATTTAATTTACTATTCTGTCCAAACAGCTGTGTTGCTCAGAACTGTTTGGAAATTTTGCTTGCTCTTTTTTAACCGAATATGATAACTATAGATTGAAAAACCAACCTAAGACAAACATTTATATTCACTGTTCTATCTCCTTAAATAACTCTAATGTTTGGTTTAGAACACGCAGACAATGAAGAGGAACAATGGTCAGATGATTTTGTAAGTACATATTTTGGGCTAGTAGGAGGTTACTGTGGCAACAAGTTAGCTCAAGAAATAATAATAACAGTTTCTTTTAAAATTATCTACTTGTGGTTGAACTAAATACTATTGAAATGTTGTTATTTTTTACCTCAGTTTAATTCACAAGTAGCCACTGATTTTTAGCTACCTCAATTATTTACATTCAACATAGAAGTACTTTCAGAAGCACAGTCAAGGATTGCCATGAACACTAAGTTTTTGGATAAGGAAGCACATGGCATCAATTTGAGGGACTTTCTAAACTGAACAATAATTTCAGAAATCAGAAGAAGGTTTTATTTGGGGCAGGAAGGATGGGAGGGGTGAGGAGAGGAAAGCCACTTCTTACTAAAAATGAAAACTTCTGCTAAGATTTTAGAAAACATTAGAATGAAGCAATTCACGGCTGTCAGCCATGTAAAGTAATGGTGCAGCTGTCAGCCTGAAGTGATCAGTCTCCTTCTGGAGTCACATCTTGAGTACCCCTTTAACTGAGAAGGGAGAGGAAGTGACAACACACACTGAGATCCACCTGGCTGGATCTAGAAAGGAACTTTCATTCCTTCCTGTCATGGGAAAGGAAACAAGCTATGGTCCATAATTTGAAGACTGAGCTCTTGAGGTGAAAGGACTCCTTGGAGATAGCAAAAAGACAGGGAGCTCCTGTGAGGAGCAGAAGGGGAGGAGGCAGGAGCGCCTCTTTGCAAGAGGAAGCACTAAACAGGAATGTGATGTGTCTCTTCAAGGGTACATTGTTGTAATTTTGTGTTCTAGAATGCTATGAGATGAGAAATGGGGAGTTGTGTCTTTCTAGGACAGTGATTATGAAAATCCAGATGACCATTCTGACTCTGAGATGTATGTGGTCCCCAGTGAAGAGAATCCTGATGACAGCTATGAGCCACCTCCAAGTGAGAAGGAGAAAAAGAAGATTCCCTCTGCATTCCCTATTTCTAGGGGTGAATATGCAGGTAGTTATGGAATGGTTAAGTATGTCACCTTGATAATTGCTTTTTGATCAGTACCAGAAGAGAAGAGGCCCCAAATGCACTAATCTGTCCTTTTCTCAAGAGTTTGCTTTTAATTCTCATACTCAGATCTTAAGCATTCAGGGGTATGATGATTTTTTTTTTAATTACAGCATGAAACAGGTTAGTATTGCCAGTAGTGATGTTTATAATTTTAATATAATGTGTCCTAGAGACTGTGATAGACATCTCCTAATGACAAAATTCAAGCAGAGGTCTAGGAGATAGTATTAGCTTGGGGCTCCAAATTAATCCACATAAATTGATGCAGCAATTACTCTTAAGATGAAGCACATAAGACTAGACAGGTCCCTTCTTAAACTTCTCTGTTTCTCCAATCATTATTCCCAAAGCATTAAAAGAAGTAGCCCAAATATTCACTCCTTCAAAATTGGTACTAAGGATGATAAATATCCTAAAAAACAGGACAGGATCAAGATTTTATTTTCATCAGTCCAGTATAAAGGGATTTTTTTCTTTCTGATTTGATTCTTTTCAACCATGGATAGGTTGCATTGAAGTGAATGAAAGTTAGCTTCAGTTAATGAAGATTTGAGTCATGGAGAAAAGAAACATTGACATGATGCCTGCTTTCATTTTTGTATGACACCAGACTGTTACTGGTTGTAGACTATTCATCAAAGTGTTAAAATACCGCATATGTACTCACAGAAGTTTATCAGCCCTTCACCTGTGTGTTCTTTGTAAAGGGAAGGACTTGACACCCCAGAGAACCTGGCATAATTCATGTTGCAGTCCCACCCACTGTCATTTTTCTCATGCCTCATATGGACTACACCACCAGCCAGCACCTTTTCCCCAGGGAGTTGAACAGTTGTTCTCACAGAAGCCAGTGCCTGGGCACCTGCTGCACCAGATACAGGCGGCCAGGCTGCTACCCTGGGCAAGGGAACAGGACCTGTTTACACACAAATCTCAACATCCGGTCCAGCTGTGCCCAGGTCTGCCATTTGACTTGTGCTGCAGCCACAGCAAAGACTTTGCACAAGCAGTAGAAGAAAGTGCAGAGACTAATGTGTAATTTTTACTAAAATTGTTGTTTTCTGCCAAATGAAAAGACAATCGCCCCAGTCACCAGAAGCTTCCTCCCATCAACAAACCTCTCCCAACTACACCCAGTCCAGCCATGTCCAGACCAAAGAAACCATGTGTGCCATCCATGCCATTGCCATCTCCTGCTGCAAAACCAAAAGTGCCACCTAAGCCTAAGGAGTGCAGTGATGATGAGGTAAAGTTTACAGATGTATTTGTTATAACAGTGTAAATGTCATAGCAATGCCACGGGCTGGTCTCTTCTTACCCTTTGTAGTACAAATCATTTTGTACATCACTAACAGTGACCTGCAAGTACCACACTGACTCCTAGGGGATATCTGCCTGCATTGAGCATCAAGGAGGCTCTTTAGACCATGGAATAACTCCTGATCATCCATAACAAGCTGCAGGCAGTGGGGAAAGGGTAACCTCAAAGGCTCCAGGACAAGAGGGAAGGGAGGGCTTCCACACACAAGTGGAATAATTCAATAAAGGGATTTCAGTCTTTGGGATTCCCTTCCACACAGGATGATAAATGTCTGAAATAGGGGTCACTGTGAAATGGCAACTATTGTAAACTGCTGCCAGGGCTTCAATCCAAACAGTTTGATGGCATGATGGACCTTTAACTGAGAGATTTTTGTCCTGCATTTCTCATAGGATAACTACATTGTGCCAGTGGACAATGATGATGATAACTATATTCAACCCACAGAAGACAGCATGTCACTACCTACAAGATGTGAGTTTAGTCATTTAAGCTTATAATTATTGCTTTGTTAGGAATAATAGTAAAAAAAAATGGGTCAAATTAATGGGTCTGTTTCTAGGGTTCAAAGAGTGGAGACGCAGCTATTAAAGAGATCACAGCCTGCAAAAAGGCACTTGGCTCCTTTGGCTTATGACAAGGCCAAGGAAAATGATTTTTTAACTATTGAAAGACATGTTTAATTTCTGCCTCTCTCAGCTATTTCCAAGTCCAGCCCTTGTACAACCAGGAGGCTTCTCATGACATATGACCTGCCTTCTCAAGCAAGGGAGCAGTAGCATTAAAATTCTCTGTTTGCTGAAGTGCTTCAGGAGAAAAGCAAACATTTTTAGATATTTAGTAGATAAAGATAAGCTTTGCTTTTTTTTTTTTTTAATCTCACTTTATATGTAAGTATATTTAGCTAGAGAATGAAACTACTACAGCCCAAAGGTGAAAAGTAAACAGAGAAGAGACTGTAGTTCTGCTCTCTGACATTACTGACAGTATCAAACCTCTTCAGAAAGGCTGGAATAATGAATAATCCTTCTCTTTTAAAATGAGAGCTGCTTTCTGACTCAGTTGATTTATTCAAGGTCACACAAAAGGTTGTCATTTGGACCTACTTAATATTCATTCTTATTGTATAAATGTTACATTGTTAGTATATATGTGTATATATACACACGTGCACAAATATATATATATGTACATGAATAAAATATGTTTTTAGCACCTGTGAACAGATTTATGAAGACAACAAAGCCAGCCCCCCCTATTTCTCCAAAGCCTTCTCTTACATCTGATATGCAAGGTATGTGAAGCTTGTATTGCTGTTAGAATAAAATAATGTAAAACTGTGAAATATTAAATTATGCCTGATGTATTCACACCACTAACCCTATGACATACTAAAGTAAAACAAAAATATGTTCTCCTTTAGCTTTTCTGTGTTGTAGCAGTTGCTTTGTCTAACTTGAAACAGTAAATCCATTTTAAGCATGAATAAAACTACAACAAGTTATTTGCCCCAAATTAATTTATTTTTAGTCTTCTGCTCTAGTGGAGGAACACAAATTGATCAATACAGCAAAAAGAATTATAGGACTCAGTATGTCAGTAGTCCCATTTCACCATAGGAATCAAGAGCCAATACTTCAGACTTAACCACATAGAAATTCTGTAAAGGCTGATGTCTTGCATGGCCCTTTATAACAGTGCTCCCATTGAGGTTCTGTAAAGAGCAGTTTATTTGGAAAAGAAACAAAAGCAGAAGCAAATAAGAGGAATCCTATTTGCTTTTATAAATTCAGATATTCTTGTTAATCTCTCTCTTCCAACTTAGACTTGTTTTGCATCCTCAGCCTCATTAATTGCTTGGATGTAACCTTTCCAGACATGACACAGTTCTTTAAAAAGCTTTGCATATTCATTAGCAATGTGTTTAGCTTTAAAGTCAAAAGCTACAAGTCATAAACTAACATTTGTTATGAATTGCTTAAGACTTCGTGAGTTATTTTCCAGACATTTTAAAATGCCCTTTTCAATCTCAGCCTTTCTGTAAATCAGTGTCGAGCAGCAACCAGCTCCTGACAGATGTTACTGCAGAATAAAACATCTCCCCCTGGTGGGAGCTGAGACATTTGAGTGCAGTAAAGTGATGAAACCTGACATGAAATTTACTGAAATAGGATTCTATTTGCATTGAAGAAACTGGGCATCGATGAAGATGCTGATGTTCTTTTTTCTTTCAAGATCTATGAATTAAAATATACTTGTGGGTCAGAACTCAGGGAGGGATGTTGGCCATGGAAATGAGCCAGTTTGTATTTATGACTGACCTGATTTCTTCCCCCCTGAGTCAAGGAAAGGCTAAATGCTCCTACAGGTGTGATAACACATTTTTTCCAAACTGACCCAGCTTTGCACAGCACAAGCATTCATCTTGCTTGCAGCAGGGAGGGAATGAGAAGAAAAACAAAACAATAAAAAGGTTTTGCAATGGGAGGAAACTTGATTAATACAATGACTGTATACCAGAATTCCTTCAGACTTCACCTGAAGTTTTCCCTACAAGACAGGGGATGTTGCTTTCCCAGGGTGGCAGATTCAAATTCTGAGCAGATTCTCCAAGTTATTTTTCCAGAGTTAGAAGTATGACTGATACAAATTCAGATCAGCTTTTATGGTAACATGCACTATGGTTTTGCTACACTAAAGAATGCTTTTTATTTCTTTCCTGTCCTGTAGAGGTCTACGAGGTTCCTGAAGAAGAGGTGAGGCCTTTCTACAGTATCACTCCCATTGCCCTCAGGCAGGGTACAGATGTGACTGTGAGAAAAGATTATCAGCCTTTCAAAAGGGAAAACTGGGAACATAACTCTTCCTGCACTTAAAGCTTTCTGACACTCCCTTTTCAGAAAAACTGGCAAACCATTTCAAAAGAGTAAATGGGAAGGGGAAAGTTTCCCAGTCCTCTGTGATAGTGATCCAATCTGTGAAGCAGCAGCCTAAGGGAATGTTTTGCAGAAAAAGTGCAGCAGAGGAGCAATGACAGTTCTGACACAGTAATTTTTTTCCCATTTGCTGGTACTGACATAACATATGGTCAAAGCAGATTTACTGATGTTGAGTTCTTGCCTGTCCCATCCTAATGTAGATTACCAGACAGAGCTCTAGTAGAAATCTGTATCACAATGCAAAAATAATATCTTGATGTGGTAACATAAATAGGATCATAATATCTATTTTATGAAATTAAAAAGTGACCAAAAAACAATTCAGTGCTTTTTCTCTTACAGGAAAAACCATCACCACCACCAGTAACCAGGTAACCCATTGCTGTCAATGTTTGTGCATTATTTAAAACTGTCAGAAAATATTTTTTCTCATCTAGATACTACATGTCTGGTAATTCTTTCTCTAGAAGAAATACAGTAACAGAAGAAATACATACAGTGAATATCTCTTCAGATTATCTGCACAAATATTATCAACCATTTCTATGTTAATTTCAATAACCCAAATGTAATACATACTAAAAAGAAATACTCTTAAGGTTACTTATTAGAATTTTGAGGGGGTGTGGGAGAAGACAGAGAGGTTTTGTTTGTATTCACTGTTGTTAAATGTAATTTTCCTTTCTTAATTCATGTTTAATTACTAGGTTCACTAAGCCACTCATGTTCATGCCTGCTCAGAGTACAGAGCACTCCCACATGCACAGCATGACCAGAGAGTCACCGAAGCAGGATAATTCCAGGTAAGTTATCAGCAGCTTTGATCAATAGGAAATATTAGCAGACAAAAAAAATTTCTTCTCTCTAATGTGTAGACTTCAAACAATAAACAGTTGTCAGGCCACTCAAATAGCTAGGGATGCTAGGACAAGGTGAGAACCAAAAGCTCTCCTTGCTTTGTGAACTTCTGTGTTGAAGGCAGTTTGCCATATAGATAGGATTTTCTTAAATAACCCTTTAGGGATCCAGTACAGGGATAAAATATCTCTGCCAGCCAGTTGAAGGTCCTATTAGCCATCTCTGCACCCTTGCAAATTAGATGTTTTTGCAGTTGTATAAAATTGCTTGTCAAGAAACTGGGCTCAGTAAATCCATTGTTTATATCCCAAGTCTGTGTCAGAAAAGGGCCAAATCATACTTGTGTTTGCAGCCTACTTCACTCCTGTGTACCCAGAGGCATAGAAAGCTGCATCATAAGCCCTGCCTCCTCTCTAGGTCATTATTTTACAGAGTATGTTATGTGCCCCCGGAAGCAGGCATCCACAATACTCTGTGTGTGAGGATGTTTGGTGAGGTCCTGTGCAGTCACAGGAGACCCAAGGTCTAGGACAGGAGCTGTTCCAGAGTAGTTTCACACCAAGGGCACAGCATCCACAGAAGCACTGTAGCTGTGCAGAGCTGAAATCAAATCCATTTACTGCAGACCTCCTTCCCTCTAGATCTTAAAAAGCCTATCTGAGCCAATTAAATAAATCCTATTAATTATAACTTACTGTGTGTATTTTTCAGAAATATTTTGCCTCTCCCCAGAAGTCGTCTTCATCCAAAACCAGTGAGTAGTTAATGGGCCACTCTAAAAGAACGTGTTACATTTAGTCCTGTGTTTCATATCTAAATAGATGGATTATCTATTTATTATCTGGATTAAATAATGGAAACAGATGACTGAATGTCAGATTAATGTAATATTGTGATTGTTGCTATTAATCCTTTGGGCAAAAGAGCACTGGACATCTGTATTGATCCAAGAAAAAGTTCAAATGTTTTTTGGGATATAAGGGATATATGTTTCAGTCCACAAAAACAATTTTTTGTACCAGTTGTACTTCAGGAACCTTACTTTAAGTAGCAGAGGATTATTCTGCCCAATCTGAAGCACTTTTCCTTGAGCCTCATTCCTCTCAGATGGTGAATGATTAATGCTTTCTGAAAATGGAAACCTTCTAAAATGTCAGACTGGGTAGTGTGAGTAACCAGTATCACTAGAAAATGCAGTCCTTGAAAGACTAATTACAAGCCTTGGGTCCTAAGGCTGTGTTTCAGCCAGTCCTCTTCTCCCTCTGCCCCCTGTGCTCTTATCCTGTCTGTCCTTTCCACTGTGCTGGGTTGTTTTAAGCAAACTATTTGGAAACTTGTCCAGCTGCAGAAAGGAGCAAAAGCAAATCTTTTTCAGCCAGATTAGCTCCATTAATTGATCTACACCATAGCTCTACTCACAGCTGTACTCTAGTTTGAGAGGGTCTTCCTGAGGAGCCAACCATCCAGAACAGAGCAATGTGTCAACTGTGTCAGCATCTGTGCCAAAAGCTGCATGCTCAGACCCTGTCCCAGCCCTGTGCTCTGAACTGTCCCTAGGAAATAATCAGTCTACCGATAACTGTATAGAGAAACTAGACACTTGAAACCAGGAATTTGGGGACATATAATAGGATTAGAAGTTATGGTAACAGTGCAGATGGTATATGAGCACCTTATAGTCTTCAGTCTTTAAATTTCTAGATGTACCAAGCAGTTTGTATGTACAACAGCATTTTAGTTTCCCTTCCACCTCATCACAAAGTTCTTCCCATTTAGATCTGTATCCTGTGGGATTCTGAACAAATCCTAAATGGTGCCAAATTTGGGATTTCTCTTTTAGGAAATAGTTTGATTTCTCAGCTTTTCTTACCAATACAATATAAGAAAAATCTCACATCTCAAGGGAGGATATTCGACAGAAATTCCACTATCTGATCAGCACTAAGAATACTCCTGCTTCAGAACAGACTCAAGTGCCACATTGCAGCTGAAACCTCTCTATTAATGCATTTTCAAAGCTTGCATTTGAGATGGATATGATCCTAGCTTTGCAGAGAATAAAAAGAGACTATCCTTTAGCTGGAGCCACACACTGAGTGAGTTACAGCTCCAAGATGAAGCTCCCAGACAAACACTCATTGGTACCATGGGTGTATTCAGCTCCTGGGTGCTTGCAGCTCACCAGTTTGTCACAAGAGTCAGCCTAGGAAAGAGTTACCCAGTGCAGTCCCAGTTCTGGGGTCTTTGCTTGTCTTGTAAGTGGCAGCCTTTACAATTTGAAACAAACACATGGTAATGAGCATGATGTTTGTCCAGTGCTCTGTTGTTCCTTTCCATCCCTGGCTACAGCACACTGGCAAAGCCCAAACAAAAACAGAAACATCTGTTAACTGCTCCCATTCAGTCTGCTGTCAGCACTAACCAGCACTGATCATGTGCACAGAACTGTAACCCTTGTTCCTCTCAAAGGCCTGAGCTGACTGGGAGAAAAAATTTGCCATGTCTCATTTCCCCAACTGCTGGGTGATGGATTACACCTCTCCAGCCAGAGAATGGAGGCATTTGTCACTAACATTAGTGAAAAGCTATTAGCTGGGTAGATGAAGACAGACAAATTAATAACTGGTGCTTCTTTGAAAGATACTTACCAGATGGGAGTCTTGATTCCCTAAAAGTCAAGAAATGGGAGCCAAAATTAAGCCTCTCCCAAAGAAGCCAGGAAATTAGGTAGATTGCTTCAATTCTAGCATGGTGATAAGAGGGTCCACTCAGTTTTCTCCATTCAGTGGAAGATGTGGTTTTAGTATGTTGAAATCTGCTGCAAAATTTCTGTCTTCCAGGTCAGAAATTAAACATGAACCAAAAGGTATCACTGCAAAACTAAGGCCAAATTTTCTCAATACTTACTACAAGCAATCTCAAGATGATTAGAAAGTTCAAAGTTTGATGGTTGCTTAAAATTTTTCAAATAACATCGTGAAAGTATTCTGCATACTATATACCTTCTGTACAAATATTTCTTTAAAAATTACTGCAGATACCAAAACCATATTGATTATTCATGCAGTTCTCATTTAATAATCAAAGAATCATTCAGGCTGAGAAAGACCTCTAAGATCAAGTTCCAGCTGTTAATCCAGCACCACCATGTTCACCAGTGAACCATGTCCCTAAGTACCACATCCACGTGGCTTTTGAACACCTCCAAGGATTGTGATTCCGCCACTTCCCTGGGCAGCCCATTCCATGCCTGACCACCCTTTCAGTGAAAACATTTTTTCTAATATCTAATCTAAACCTCTCCTGGTGCAGCATTAGGCCATTTCCTCTTGTCACTTGTTACCAGTGAGAAAAGCCTGATACCCTCCTTTCAGGTAGAGAGCAGTAAGGCCCCCCTGAGCCTCCTTTTCTCCAGGCTAAACATGCCCAGCTCCCCCTTCCACTCCACATAACACTTGTGCTTCAGTCCTTTCACCAGCCTTGTTGCCCTTCTCTGCTCCATTACTTCTGTGTCCTTCTGGTAGTGAAGGAATTAAAACTGAACACAGTAATTCCTTTTTTAATTCCTTCATATCAAATCTAACCTCTTTTTCCATTACAGGACCATGAAGCTAACAACAATGATGAAAGTAAGTATTCAGATGAAAACACAGCAATATGAGAGGGACTGATACGCCACCAGTTAGCAGAATACAGCGTGCAATGTAGTGTGTCAGTGTAAATCTTATCTGTACAGTCAGCAATAAGCAAGAAGTGTTACTGAACTGTTCTCTTGTATTATCATACTGAAAACATGTTAAGAAAAAATTAAAGCAGTGGATATTTTTTACCTTTATTACATTAACACTAAAATGGCAATGAGGAAAATCCACTGTTCAGATACTGCTCACATTGCATACTAAATATATTGCTTGCATCTCTAGGTCAGAGGTTCAATAACACACAAGAATCCAGATTTCCCACTGGAGCAGCTCCATCTCCATTACCAAGGGGCCTGTGAGTAAAAAACTATAAAAGTACTTCTTTGATGGGGATGGGTTTAATAGGTGTATTAGGAGCTAACTCCTATCCTTGCCTATAACAATTAGAATTCAGGAATAACATTTATTCCTGTTTGTGAAAGATATCCTGACTAGGTAAAGGCAAGCTGTTATTTTGCTATTTCTGGAGGAACACTGTTTATATGCCAAGTGGCCTTGCCCTTCGCTGCCTGCCACTGATGGCAGATGCTGGCTGCCTTGGCTGATTTAGTCCCATGTTAAGTATTGGACAGAGTTGTAGCTTCCTTGTGCGAGTACCTTTAGTGAGTCCCCACATTGCATCTGATAATAGCCTTATTCCTTTTTTATTCTTCTTTGTTTCTAACTGCTACAAGTATCCAGTGAATCCCATCTTAGACAGAAATACCCTGAGAACCAATGAAACTGATGCTTAGTTGCTATATGAATCCATGTATCTGCTAAGTAACCATATTCTTTATTTTTCTTTTTCCTCCATACTTCAGCAAGAAAACTTCTAATGCAGTAATTTCACCAGTAAGTTGACTTGTAATTGCATAATCACCCAAAACTTCTATTATATTTTTAATTTATTGTAAAACTTAATTTTACATGGGTTTGGTTACAAGATAAATGTAAAAAATGCTAGGAGAAAGAGTTATAAAGACAGGAAATATTTGGGTGCTATTACACAAATGAAGATCAGTGATCTTTCTGCTCAAGGAGAAAAATATTTTGATCAAAGCAATGTTTGAATTCAATGCCCTGAGATGTAACAATAAACACAGTGCATGAGCTGAATAAATGAGAAATAGATAGGAATACAGACAATTCAGAAGTATTCCCAGAATGTACAGGGCTGCTTATGGGGAACATGAGTTCATGTAAGTGATAGCTCAAGAAATATGCAGGATTTTACCAGAATTTGTCTGAGGTTTTTCAGTAATTCAAAAAATATCCCAAAACTTCTTGTGGCAGAAAGTAAGAGGACTGGTTGAAATTTTCAAAGAAATTAATTCAAAAAATGTTTCAAAACTGGCAGTTTATTATCATTGTTTCAAAATGAAAGCAAAAAAAAAAAAGTGGAAGATTGGTTCCAGTTTTACTGTGAGCTAAACCAACAGTTTAACTTCCAGTAAACAGAAGAAAATGCGTTCAGATATTTGTGTGCATAGTTCAATACGGATGAAAATCCAATTTTCATTTTCAAGTATTTGGGATAGACTTCTGATTTTAGGTCCTGAGATAAGAATGAACCATCTAGATTTTAGTTTTTCTCCATCTATTTATACCCACAAGCTGGGATTCTTTCCAAATCTCCTTTGCAAAATCGCAAACTTCAAGGTCATGCAACTAGAGACTCTTCACAGAATGGCTATGTCCCTGCCTCCTAATTCTTCCAGGATGTTGTCAATTCTAAACTGTTTCACAAAAAGTATAAATTATAAACATTTGCTACACAAGTGCCAGTTAATACTTGGTTGTCCTTCTCTTTTATTGCAGAAACCATGTTTACCTTCCAGAGAGACCTTAACTGCAAATGAAGGTAAATTATACCCACTAATGTGAAAAGTTGACATTTTTCCAATTTTTTTTTAACTAAAACATGAAACAAACAGCACGACATTCAAGTTACTGTAGGTTTTTGAGGGGTGTTTGGTTTTAGTTTCAAACTGGATCTGGGCAGCCTCAGTTGCAGTGAGTATCATTGTTCTCTGAAAGCAGTCCCAGTAAAGCTGCTGAGGTTCCTGGCAGGGTAATGTAGCACAGTGATGGAGCAGCAGTGTGCCCATGGAGCCCTGGAAGTGGAGAAGGGGGAAGGGAGGGACAGGCTCTGAACTCAGCCAGAACCATCCCTCCCAGAGCCGACTCCTGGCAAGAGGCAGTCCCTGGCACAGGCAGGGACTCCATCCTGGCTCTGGCTGTGGCTCTGGCTGTGCCTGGGTGAGGTGGCTCCAGCAGGAGCTGCTGCCTTGCTCTGGACTGGGCTGGCTGCCCTCCTCCCCCTGTGTCACAGAGTCCCGCCCAGCCCCGCAGGCATCCGCAGCACAGGTATTTGCCTAGCATTAGTTAACAGCAGCGCAATGGCAGGCTGCCATGTCAGAAAAAAACCCAAATTTATAGTAAAAGAAACCCTCCCTTGTCTACTGGGACTCCCTTACCTGGGATAATATATTTCTGAAGAAATCGTGACTCTACCGTTTGTTTTCCCAAACTCCAGAAAAACCTATGGTACCAGAACGACGGCGCAATTCCAGCCAGGAACTTCCACTTCCCCCCCTTCCAAGTGGTGCCCAAAAGTAAGGTCCCTTTCCATCCTCTTGGGAATATTACTGTGCACCAGCTGTGAGAGGCTCAAAGGGGCACTCTTTTCACTGGAGCCTCCTTGTTGCTTTTTCAGAGCTGAGATTCCTGAAGCCTCACAGTGGCAAAAAAATAAAACATGGCAATGCATACAAATACTTTATCGGTCACCAAAAAGCATGAGGGGATATAATCTGTAATAAGGTGATGGAGATTTAAAACACATGTTTAAATTCCTACTAGTGGGATATCATTTTTTAAAAATACCTGTATCAGACCCATGTTTCTCAATGAACACATTCTACCACTGCATATTTTCAGTTTTCATATTATCAGGACTGGGTCCATCCCCTCAGACCTTTCTGTAATCTCTCAACATTTATTTCAGGCCTCTGCTCCAAAAGCCCTCAATTCTGCCAAGTAAGTATAATTCAGTTTTTGAATTAAAATGTGACTAAGTTGTAATTTCAAATTAATCTCTGAGTTAAAATTATTTCAAAATACCTTGCATGTTAATTAGTTTGGAATTAATGTATCTCTAATGCATACAAAGAGAGGGTCAAGTATCCAAGATCTTAGCTCAGCTAGTAAAATTAAGGGAGTATCTCAGGATTATTGATGGAAAATGGGTGCTTCATTTATATTTATGAATACTGGAAATCCTAGCAAAGGCAATTTGGGTCATTTCCCATCATAATAAAGATTCCATCAATCTTCCTTGTCACAGAAGAATCTTAAATATGACATTTCTGGGCTGCTCCAGGCTTCTGTTGCCTACAAGACAGACAGATTATTATTACATTCAATTTATTCTTTTTCTATAGAAGGAAAAAAGAAGGTACTTTTAGAATAGCAATTGCTGAAGCTCTTTTCTAAGTAGTGCTTTCCAAGATGGACTTTGTTTCAGTTCACAGCTAAAAACAAATTAGTTAATATGTATATAAACCCTCTTTGTGCAGAAGTGTAAATTAGATTAACATTTTTCTAGTTGTTTGTTAGCAGACACTTGTCTGACCTTCCTGTAAGCCCTTTACTGTACTTATTCAGTCTGAACATATCTTTCATATTGTAAACAGATGGTGAGAATGGCACATATAAATCTACATTTGGTGTAGCTTAAACTGACATGCTGTTATTAGTGTATCTCTTTCCTGGAAACATTTGCTTGATGCATGTTGCAATTATATCTCCTGTGCTGAGAAGTTCACATTAATACATGGTTCACATTAATGCTCTTGACTGATGCACTCAAGTTTGTCCTGCTCCCATCACACAACTGATGTGCTTCAACTGGAAGCATAAAGTCTTACTACTCCTGGAACTGTACCTATTCTTCAAGACCATCTAGTGGTAAATGATGCTCTGATTAGTAAACTTTCTTTAGCATAATCTTATTCAGTGCCAGGTCCAATAACAACTTTATAATACATACCACTGGTCCCATAATCACTGATGTCCCTTGAGCATAACCTGCCATCTCTTCTTTGTATACAAGCCTAGAGCTAACTTCTGTCTTCATCATTACAAGTACTTATTTCCCATATGGCACAGTGTCAAATGCTCCTCTGAAGTCCAAATTAAGTACACTGCCACAGCCCCTCTGTGTAGAACTCTGTTATTCTATGAAAGAGCTGTAACATTTTATCTACTTGGCTAAAATTCATATTTTCTCGTGCTAGTTGTACCTTTACTTCCAAATCTTGATGTTATTTCCTTCAAATTCTCTCCTAGGGCCTTGTGTTCTGTGGAATCAGGCAAAAAACCCTGTAGATGCTCAAGTCACTTTTTCCACTTCAGGTGTAGCAGTTATGTTTGGTATTCTTTAATTATTTGGTACCATCCTGACTTGAAAATTATGTAAAATAACTGTTACCACCCCTGAATTACATGTGCCAGTTTTTAAAATTTCATAGGTAATCTGGGCCCATCAGTTCAATTGTATGATGTTATTTAAGCTCTGCTTCCAATTTGATTGTAAATTTCTATTTCTGTGCCAGAACTACTATTTGTTTAGTACCTAGATTATCTTTAAAATCAATAAAATTCTTATTGTATAAAGCCCCATCTCTCTTTACTTTTTTTAAACACAGCCAAGGCATCTTTCATTACTTATTTTAATATCCTTTTGTCAAGTCTAATTCACTAATCTGACTTCTGTCAATTCTTGCTTCATTCATACAGTCTACTTTCAGATGTAGCTTTAACAGCCAGTCAGTCAAAATTTGACAGAAAAACCAAAATCCATAATATTGAATAGCCTTCTTCAGGTGATTATTAATTCATTGAGAGCTGGAACTGCTCTCTATAATGTCTCCTCTCCACTTGGGGATGCAGCTTCCAGACAGTTGCATCTTTACTGCAAAAGAAGTTCTAAATGTACTTCACACAATTGGCTTTGTCCTCCAGTTGCATTTTTTTAGTTCTGGTCACTGTATGGTCTTCTCTATAACATTCTATTGCTTTCTAAGCCAATATCTAAATCAGAATTTTATTAGTGCAGATTTAACAATGAAGTCTGCAGAGCACCATATCCAGAAAGGGTAGTATTTGTTTTCCCTAATAAGTAAAACACACAGGAAAAAAGCCTCCCATAATAACAAAATAAGCATCACTTAACTTTCTACAATGATCTTCTCTAGTATATTGATTTGCATCCAGCTGTGTTCACAAGTACCTATAGCAGACACCTACACTGTTGGGCTAAATTATTTTTTTACCCGAAAGCAATAATCCATACTTCTTTCATCATATCATTACTATGCAACGCTACTCAAACATTTCACTTCTGATTTCTTAAACTCTTATATCTGTATTTCAGCCCTAGTAACTATTTTCAACTATGCTTTGTTATTCCAATTAAGCATCATAATGTTTTATATTAATTCTGCTTCTCCATTTTGCTGCCTGGACTTCTTGCACGTGTGTACAAACAATTCAGGCAGTCTAAACTGGTGAAAAATTATCTCTGAAAAAAATTCATTTTCCTGACTTGCTCATCTGTAAGACTGCTTCTCACAGGACTGAGAATTACTTGCATCGAGTTCCTGCATTTTCTTATCTATTGCTACATTCATTCACTTTGGTGGTGGAAGAGGTTTTTTCCTGTACTCTGAATCTAGATCTGGCTAATAACCAAATTGTTATTCAGACTGGTTTTTCCTTCACAAGCAAGGCTACCCTTTGGGCAGGCAAGAGTCCAAGCACTTACATAGGCCCCATCTATTTCCAGTAGAAAGCTTTCCTGACTGATACCAAAGGTCAAGTGTTTCCAGATCTTCCAAAGTAATAATTTTAACAATTCAATTTCTTACATCATAGCAAACATACTTTGAAAACTCATACCTGTTGTTCTTTCTCTTTTCTAGAAGTCCCAGAAGCAGCAAACCGTTCCTTGGGTGCTTCCCCTCCCAGCAGCATTTCATCTGTTTCAAGTTCTGCAGACCAGGTGTAGTATTAGCTAAATTCATATTACAGAAATCTCCTTATCCTTTATTTTAAAATAGTATTTCCACCTCCTTTCAATAGAAAATTACATTCCTGGAGGGCTTCTATGCCCCCTTTTGCAATGAGGCTTTTCTGTAGCACAAATAATCTGAATGTTAGCTTTCATTAAAACATGCTCAGAACAGGTAGCATTGGAGAGGTTTAACAAACTGTAGAAAAATATGTAAACAGTATTATATTAAATCTTGGCACCCTACCAGTCACAAAAAGCTTTCGTTTCATGTCTTCCTGACTCTCCAGTTCTAACTTATAGCTGTACAAATTGTGTACAGGAAAAAAAAGGTGCAGTAAGTACATACAATGATGTTGCAATGCCTCCCCTGTGTGTTTTAGTCTCTCCCAAGTCCAGCTCCTTTCTGTTTCTTTAAACAGCTCTCTTCTCATTACAATTCATGCTGTCAGTTTTATGGCCACTTCTTCTTTTTATGTGTTTTGTTGCAACATTAAGCTTTGAATGATCTAAGCAAATGCAAGGTTATTTTAATTTCACTGCTATTCCCCTTACTCTTATTTTGAATGAAGGGAAACTACAAAATGCAAAAACCCATTCTTATAAACCTAGTAGTCACAAACAAGGTAAAAATAGTTGAGTGTAAACCAAAGGCTCTATCATGCAGAGCCAGCAACAGTAAGCATTCTAAACTCTGACATGACAAAGATAATACAACAGTGAGGAACACTAAGGAGTTGAAGTTCTGGAAAAAATTTAACTGTATGTAATACTAGATATTTATTATAAAAATTACTTTCAAATAAGCAATCCAGAAAACTCTACATAAACAGCTTGTAGCAATTACATTTGCAATTTTTATGTAACAGCCATGGGCAGAAACAGAACTTAATAAAAGATCCATTTAGTTTAAAAAAAATTAGCTGCTAGTGTTATTTTCCCAGCAATTATATACAGTGGTATCATTTGCTGTAGCATCCTCTACAATACAGGTGCTCACAGATTAATGACAATTAATTATGTCATTAATTCCCACGACATTCACTGTTTGCTTGGTTCCCATCCAAACTTTGGCAGCAGCTCTCTGCTTCTACAGTATAGGCCACAGATAGGGGTAGAAGAAAGGTCTGGGGGTCATTGATTCCTTCTTTTGTTGAACAAAGATTTGTTCACTGGACTCATTCTCTATGTGGGCAAGTACTTTCATATTTGCAATTCCTCTCAGCCTTTCCTTTTCCAATGAATAGTGTGAGTGGAGAAATAAATGGAAAAAAATTGAAGGTAAAATTATATGTTATGGCTTGAGCCAGTCTAAGAATTTAGTACAATGCCCCCAAAATTGGGGCTCTGCTCTCTCCTCACTGTCAGCTCCCCTCCCAGCTTCTGTGGTGCTCCTTCCTGATCCTGCAGTGGGTTGAGCCAAGTCATTAAACTGACAGAAAATCAGCTTGGCAGTCAAACACAAAAAAAGACAAAACAAAAAAGGAAAGTTTTTTGGGTTTTTTTCTGCAAGTTTAATAAAGTGAATTATCTCACCATGGGATCAGATGGATTTATTGCCACTAGTCACAAAATGAGCACAAAGGAGAAGCCAAGACATTCCCTTTCTGGCAGCAATAAGTCAGCTAGACCAGCTCAGTTATAATGTGCAACCTTTAATCTGTTTTGTACAGAGGTGACAAAGCTTGTGTGAAAATTAATTTTATCATTAAACTTGTTACTGTAAAGCTGGAGCAAAACTTACCCAGGCATCATGCTGTCCATGTGGAGACAGGCATGATTGTGTTCACAAAGAGCATTATTCCTCAACATTCCTCGATAATTTGTTCCTCTTTAAATTCTGCTGGAATAGCTTTTGCCTTTAGAACGATCCTACAGTTGAACCTGACTGCTTTCCTCAGGGTATCTGTCTTTTGTCATTTATCAGCCTTCTATCACAAATCTGTTACCACTGTTTTGATGCTCCCAGTTTTTCTTTACCCTCCCTCTACTCAACTAAAACTGTGAACTCCTGGCAAAGACTTTTTTAAACTCGTGAGTTTTCTGCATTTTAGTTATTCATAGCTGTCGCTATTTAGCAATAACTCCCCTACAGGCCATATTCTTTATTATTGTTATTATTTTACAGGTGAAACACTGTTCCTCTCTTTTTAGGATGCTGGTGTTCACAGTAAAGCATGGTATGCTGCTACCTGTGATAGGAAAATGGCAGAAGATGCATTGTACCGATCAAACAAGGTACGTCACTTTTAAAGAATGTCTGTTTTATGGGGAAAAACCCCAGAAATTCAAATAAAAAATTTTTAAAAGAGCATCAGTTGCCTTCTGAGCAGGTCAGAACTACTGTGCCATGCAAGTACTGTCAAACCTGGAATTATTGGGGTGACATTTAATTAAGCCAGTTAATGCTGGCTTTCATTGCAACACAAAGTTGCATTAGTGCAACTCAAAGACCAAAGCACTGCAAAGAATGCTATTACAGACTAGAGAGCTGAGGAAGATCTTACAGCTCATGCACACTCTCTTAAAAGAAATGCAAAGCCCAGTGGCTTTTAAGTGGTCTCAACTTAAGCCACAACTGTCCAGTGGCTCATGTGGAAACAGCTATTTGGAAAGGCTGGTGTTGCTATGCATTTTGAAATAGCAACACTGCATTTGGGTATTTGGAGAATTTGAATTCTCTCAACTATTCTTGTTACAAAATCTAGTGTCACAGGAGGGAGGAGGACCATGTAGAGTTGCATCCTCAGCATCAAGTACATTTCCACTCTTGCCTAAGTCCACAGAGGATAAAGGGGCAGAGAATGGGGGCTATCACCAGGTGAAGGCTACTGTGAGTTAGTGAGCACAGGGCTGCATAGTCAGGAGTTCAGGTGCTTGACTGTGGTGAGCTCCTTTTTTCAGCTCTGGAGAAAGGGTGTCTCCACCTCTCCCTGCTTTCTTCCCTACCTACTGCCACTGATAGGAACTATTCCCTAACAGTCTGTGGATCCCAACAGATGGCTGCCACTGTGTATTTATTTCTTCATTTTCTCTCTGGTTGAGGGAGAGAACAGGCAGCAGCAAAGCTGATTCTTAAATGATGCCTTTGCAAGCTACTGTTAGCAGGAACACATGCTACTTCTCATCTGCTGCTCTTATTTTTCTAATGGGAGAAAAGGGTTCAATGCTAATATAAATCAAAAATGTTAAACCAAAACCAGACTAGGTTGTTGGAAAGAAATGAGCCAAATACACTGACTACTTTTCTCTCTTTAGGATGGATCTTTTCTAATAAGGAAGAGTTCTGGGCAGGACTCACGGCAGCCATATACACTGGTTGTGTTTTACAACAGAAGAGTGTACAACATCCCTATACGATTCATTGAATCAACAAGGCAATATGCACTGGGCAGAGAAAAAAGTGGTGAAGAGGTGAGATGATGTGGGGGTATTTTTCCTAACAGTTTTCAATTACATACCGGACTAAGATATACTGCACTATGACCACAAGGATTCCTCATGTATGAATATAAAAATATACCCTTCAAAATGACCAATCTGTCAAGGTAGAGAAACCAGTGTTATAACAGCTCCTGTACACTGTAACTAAAACCACAGACCAAATTTAAAACATACTCATAGAGCTGTTTAAATAAAGTTAAAAGGATAAGAGGTGCAGCCACTAGATAAATTTTCTGACTGTTTACAGTCCTCCACTTACCTTCTATCTAAAACTGTAGTTATGTTTCTTGGAAAATTGCAAAGGAAGAACAGCCATGCTCAAAAAACCCTCCAACACTACTAAAAATGAGAATGACATTACTGTTAGTACTGTTTTCACATAAAGAAAATATTAAACTTTAGCTCTGGAGTGAAAAGATCACTGGTTATCAACTCTGCCACAGAGATAATTACTGTGATAGCAAAGCAGAAACTTGGAACACAAATACCAATGAAAACAGTTTATCATTGCATAGAGTAGGCTTTTCAGCAGTGTGAAAGTAGGCTTGACATAGCCTAATTATCTGCCTCCCAGGCACCAGTTTTGAGATCAGAGAAAATATAATAGCCTGGAGCTCACCTGGTCTTCAACAAAGATCTCAGGATAAATAGATAGTCCAAAGTCTTTATTTGACCAAAGTCCAAAAGGAAAAGCAACAGACCTAGCAGATTCTGGATACTAATTTACATTAGTAACATGACAAACATTAAAACTGTGTAACTAGAACAGATCTCATAGATGGCTGCCTGTACCTGTTACTCCTGGACATGGCCTTCCCTCTGAGGTGGCTGAACCACATCTGCCACAGCTGCTGAGCAGCCAGGCTGCAGCCTACTATACATTAAGGGAAAATGAAATGTCAGTTCACTATGGCCCACAGCAAACTCAGTGGTTTAGTTTGTGCAGGTGACAATCACAAATGGAAAGGAGGGGACAGCTGGTGCCTGTAGTATCTTCTGTTGTCTAAATCTAATCTGTTAATGACTAAAATCAGAACTAAGAGAAGGATCAGTGCTCTCACTAAAAGGCAAAGCATCTAACTTGGTAACAAGTAGCTTTACTTGCTTCAAATAGATGAGAAGCAAAGATAAAAAGATGCAGTGATTACTGTCAATATTACAGCATTAAAAGAAGCCAGCACTAATTATTTTTTGTCTTCTTTTTCCAGCGCTTCGACAGTGTTGCTGAAATAGTAGAGAATCATCAGCGCACCTCCCTGGTTCTAATTGACAGCCAAAACAACACAAAAGACTCAACAAAACTGAAATATATTGTAAGAGTTTCTTAATCAAACTGAACTGCTGAAAAGAAGACCTCTTTAATCATTTCTTTCAATATACCAAGACGTGGACAAGTTATTAAAAGAAGAAAATCCAAAATGATGGGAAACACTCTTCAAGAGTAGTAAGAAATGCATTTCATAGAGCTCAACCCCACGTCACTTTTATCGGGAAAGTTTAACACAAGAAGCCAAAGCAGATGCGCTGTCATCTCTGACAACATGGGTATCCAAAGTCATGGGAAGAACAACTGCATACCACAGCCTGGGCCTCTGACTGCTGTTTGAAGATAGATTTCTTGAAGGACATTTTCATTTTAAAAATGAGAATACCCACAGTGATCTATTCTTTCAATTTATGTTTACCACATATCACTGCTTTCAGCAATTTCTTTGTAAAGTGCACAGCCCCAGAAATTAGAGCAACTTGACCTAATGTACCACTGTGCACAAGTTGAAAACAGGACTGTACTTTGTGACTAGTGGCAATAAATCCATCTGAACATTTTAGATTTATGGACATGTGTTGTACTTTCCCTCAGCTTCACCCTGTTTCACTGATATTTTTGTTTGTATTTTCAAATGTAAAAATAAAATTTAAAAATACTGTAAACTCAGTAGTGCATGGAGACTTTGCTGGACTGCATTTCTGGCACCCTTCCAGCAAGAAAGCATCAGTTCACTAGTGTTGATGTTTTAATGTATATATTTGTATGTGCTCCTTCACAATGTTATGAAAAAGCATCTCTTTTTACAACTTTATAATATATATATATATTACACACACACATAATTTGACTTAATGACTCTCAAATCTTTTGTCTTTAAATTGCCTACTGCTGATGACCCAGGCACATTGCATCATTGCTAAACTAATTACCCACTCACTTCTTCCTGACTTACTTATGGAGACACACACCAAAAAAACCCCACTTTTTTATGTGATAGCCTGTTCTATCACAGTGGTTTACTTACTATAATATCGTTAACAAAGTAAACTTCCACAAATATTCAAGTGGTAAAAATTAATTTGATGAATGTATAAATTGCATCAATGAAAAACTTTTAGGAGCAATTGTTTACTAGTTCTGGCAGTGTTTGATTTCACTGGACCGGAAGACTCATCCATCTTAAAGGTATTTTCCAAAACTGACACTTTATACACATTTAGTTTATTCTTTTTGTTCCAAATTAAGCAGTGTTCTCTAGGATTATATTCAAGGCATTAAAGGCAAGTCTAGTTAAGACCTGCAAAGACTCAGCAAGTTACTTAGGGCCATAGGGTGGCTGAATTCTACAAATACTTTCTTATGCTTTTGATCAGTTACTTGTAAAAGTCATGCACCTGCCTTCTAGAAAGAACTGTATGCCAGTAGGATGCTCAGCACATGGCTCCCTACATACCTTGAGGCAGGTCAGCTTCTTCCCTCTGCAACACAGGCAACCCAAACGTGATGTGATTTCACACTGGCAAGTAAGAAACAATGTATACAGACTACACAAGCCTACCTATTACAGACCATCACAGTACTACATAAGGGCTATGTTTAGTATATTGCTCAGTTGGTATTTTATATTTAACACTATGCCTAATACTACTGAAATGTTTAGAACATTAAGATTGCTAAGTCAAGGTATAAAAACACAAAAGTTAGTAGTGTCTGCAAGCTTCCTTTACTCTTTCTATATGTGTACTATTATATTATTTAGCTACTTTAGGCATCACTTTAGAAGCTATTTCAAGCAATACTCACAATGGAAGTACTCTGAAAAAGTAGCCACTGAGTATTTAACTTCCTTTGCATTCATGTCCTTGCCTTTCACTCATGTACTGCACAGTATTTCAACTTGGTACTGTCTGCTAACCTTTCTGTGTTGCTCCCCAAAATCTCTAGATTCTTCATTCTTTACAAGTTAAGTGTGCAGTATCTCCATCATTCTACAACTGAGGAGGAAAAAATAGTGTGAACAAGGGAAGTTCAAGTGTGTATATTTCATAAGAGAGACTAGGTATCATTTTTTTTTAAAGGTAATTAGCACTGACCACTTTAAAGCACTGCTGTTCCTGCCCCTCAGCTCTAAGTGCTCAGCACTATAATATTGTGGTTGACCTACAAATAACAAATGTGCTCTAGATAAAGGGGGCAGTTGCCTTCATCCTCAAAACTTACTTTACTTTTTATCCATGTTCTACATTATTATAGGGCTACCTTATAGTTACGACAACAAAACAAGGCACGGAGCTGATAGGTAATACAACCTTCCACAAAATAATCCTATCTGCCTGAAATGAGGACTTCTTAGGCACAAAATAAGGATCCCTAGGGGTACAACCCTCCCCCAACAAACACACAAAACACACCAGTACATTGTCACCTACTTTACTACACTTGATGTTTTGTACAGGAACAAAGGCAGCAGAGGTTACTCTGCTTTCCATACTCGAGCTAGATCTGTTATAGCTTGGCAGGACTATGGTACAGACATACCATGAAACGAAGTTTTATCTGGAGAAGGTTTAAGCAAGTTTCAGGTATAGGATTGCACCAAGTTACCATTTCCTACATTGTAGACATAAAATAGGCACTCAGGATGAAGCCTGCTGAGTTAAAAATCCCAGTGCTGTGGGCTGAAAAGCCATTACAGAATGCAGGAAATGGTGACTTGGTGTGGCTGTTGCAGTGCCAGCAGATATCTCCAGGTAACAGGTATATCAAGTCTGACCTGACAGACACAGCAACACACCCCTCCCCTCATCTTTCTTTGATATTGTCATACTGTTAGCTAATTTCCCTTCCATATAATATGTCATTCACTGAATAGTTAAAACAAAACAACAAAAACCAAAAACACCCCAAAACCTCACACCAAAAAACCACACACTCAGAAACAACCCATAAACCAAGAACTAAAAATGAATTCTTTTGTCTGAGAACTCAGGGCAAAGTGTCATATTTAATAATACACAAAGGAGAAGTGTTGTCTGTCTACCTGCTACAGAGAGTACAATGAGTACTGCATATCATTCCTGACAATGTTGCTCCATGAAAGGAATAAGAACCTGCATTCTCAAAAATCCAATTCAGAGACACAAGGTACAAAACTACATTCTTCCTTCAATCAAAAGCAGCAGCAGCAAAAAGAGATTATTAGGAATCGTTAAGAAAAAAAGCGTGTCACATAACAACAGCTCTATAATAAATTTTTGTTAAAAACACTGGAATTACTGAGGAAGGGCACCATGACTTACTGATGAATACACATCTTGCCAAGAACACATAATGGGGTAGATTTTCGGTCTCTTCAAGGTCGTACAGACAGTTGATAACCTTGTGCTTGCACCTCTCTTTGTATGTCCCAAAACAATTAAATCAATGTGAGGTTTATCTTGCTATCTGCAATGTTACAAACTATTAAAATGTTATGGTTGCATAGTAAAGCACTCAAAATCAAGATAATTCAAGTTACCTGTGCAACCTTGTCACATGAGCTATATCCATTACAATACAAGCATTAAATATTCAATCAATGCATATTTTTCCACATGGATTTATATGTTTCACTTAGTTCATGCAATACTTCAGGGATAAATCGTAGCTGTATAATGAAAAACTGTGGTTTGTAGGATATTTGTAGAATACCTTTCCCCATTTACTAAAATGCTGAGAAATGCACCAACATTGAAGAATTCAGCCAGTAAAAAGATGGCTTCATACAGTAAAGTAGCTGAACTGAAGAACTGAACATATCTTCCCTGCATTTTCTACCACACCATATACTGCAACACAGGTCAGATCACTTCAACCTACTTTTCTCCTGGTGGTAATTAATTTTGATCTTAATTTCAGTGAAGGCCCACTTGAGATTTTCTGAAACCTGATCTGCAGAAATGCCAAACTCTAAGAACCTCAAACAATGCACTATGAAAAAGGTTGTAAGAATAAATTGTGTATTTAGAACAGTACTTGAGCAACCTGCACTAAATAATATGAGGATTCACCCAAACTATGCTGCCTTGACTGCTTCAGTTGTCTTCTATACATAACTCACCAGATGCTAGACTAGTGTGCATCTTCCTGACAACACAAATATCAAGAAAAACTTATCTAATCACTGAAGCAATTGTTTTTAAGTAATTTTAACACTTCTTAAAATATAAGTTGAATTCAGGTTGGTGACATGCCTGTGACATCCATGACTTCTTACTGTTTCATTGGTAGCAATCTTCACTTTCACCTTAAGGAACCAGTAACAGAAAACTACTTGGGCTTGCATACAATCTAAACCCCAGGATTTAAATGCCCCAGTCCTCTCCAAGCCTACTGTTCAATTTTTACAGCTTTGTAATCAATACTTAGGGAAGCTGGCTTACACCTTCATACTTGGGCAAAAGGTGCCAGCCATATGGTAAGAGCAACCCCAGGTAAGAATGAAACTTCTAGCCTACAGAGGTTCATGAAGAATCTGGAGGACAAAGCCTCGAGACATAATTACTGTGGATAATAACCTTCATCTGTCACAACGGTTAAGAGATCTTTTGCTTACATGCCTTTGTATAAGGACTAAAAACTGTAATGCATAGTCTCTCCCTTCATTATCTCTAAAACTGAAAGTAGAAAGCAAGCAGGCCCCTAAGAACATTATCCTTCTGGGCTGGTAAAATATGGGAATAACAACTCAAGCCTTGGTTTTGCCAAATCCCTGGTGCCCCAAAAGGCTGTATATCTGAATAAGCAATAGTAGAAAACATTAAGTCATTATGGGAACAAATTCCATCCACCTGAAATAAAGCTATGAAGTAATTACAAGCCTAAAATGGTGCTCTGCACCTCCCCAGATCCTGACCATCCCTGGTTTGTGGCAGATACAGCAAGATAGAAACATTTTCTATAAATGCTCAAAGTCATTTGCTGTAAACACAAGTTATAGCAAATTTAATAGTGACAAAATCAATACAGATTAGGAATGTTCACCATTCTTAAACACCATATACATTATGAATATATATACTGTATATTTTCAATCGATTTCATTCTGACTCACCGTATTAACACAATCATAATACATTTTATTAATTTATATGAAAAATACTTCACTAAGAAAGTAGACAAACTGCACAGAAATAGTACAAGTGTCATGTGCATAGCAATATAGCTTAAAGCATTCACATATGGCTTTGTTTAAATGAAACTGTGGGGGAATGGCCCTATCCGGACCCATGGTTACACAGTCAACATAATGTAAACTGCTTCACATCTTTGAGGCACTTGCTAATAATAGTGTTCAATCCCTGAAAAACAAAATCAAGAGCTAATAAGTGAAAATAACAAAATCCCAGGATAACAGCTGTGTATATTTGAAAATATTTTAAAAATTGGTTTTAGTAGTGCATGCACAGAACTGAAAAACTGGGGGGAAGGGGGTAATTTCTGTGCAAGAATTATACCAAGTAACTGAAAAGTATAAAAATATTTACATGTTTAGGGATTTTAAGTATGTACAGAACAAAGGCCCTGAAGACTTATTCTATAGAATAAAAATATAGCACATGATAGCAGTAATAAAAATAATATATTTTTTTATGGAATTGTATTTGCAGTTAGTTACAAGTTA